AGCCCAGCCATTTCCTTCTCTCCTCCTGGGCTTGGGTCTGAGGTCAGCTTCCCAGGGGGCACCAAAGCCTCTGAGCGAGGACAGAGAGTGGCCGGAGTGAGAACGGGTGCTGCTGACCCTCGGCAGGGCCGGGGGATGTCTTCAGTTGTGCTCCCCGTTCTCAGTGACCACCAGGTGCTGTGGCCCTTGGCTGCAGAGTGGGGTGCAGACAGCCCCTCCTGCCTGTGTAGCAGCAGCTGTGACAGGACCGGGAAGGAGAGCTCCCTTCTGCGAGGCTGTGACTGGGGTCGGGGTCTGCCAGAGGCAGGCTCAGAAGAAGTTCCATGAGGAACTGAGGGCTGGGACCTGCAGGAGGAGCTGAGGGTGCATGGGGTCTGGGGGAGCCCCAGAGATGGTCAGGGTCTCCTTCTGATAAATCAGACCCCCCCCCCGCAAGAGGCCTGGTCCCGCTCCAAACCTGGAGTAGACCAGGAGGGTGGGCTGGGGCTGGGGAGATGGTGTAGCCAGTGTCCTGCCCCCAACTCAGCCTCTGGTCACCCTTCCAGTGCTGGCAAGGCACTGGGGGTGTGAGAGGGCCCTGGGGTCCCAGGGTCACTGGAGGACTTGCGTTCTCTGCAATGGCCACTACTACCTGGGTCCTGCAGGGGTGTAAGGCCAGAGGGGGACCTGGTGGAGGTCGGCTGTGGGCAGGGGAGCCACAGGAGTGTCCAGGCCCCTCCCAGGCCAGCCCCACAGATTCTGAGGCAGCAGTGGGGGCCTTGATGGAGGGGTCCACTCTGCCCACCCCAGACACTCCCCGGCCAGCCTGGGTTCCAATGTGGGCCGGGCTCTCATCCTGGCCTCCTGGGAGCTGTGTGGTCCTGCACACTGCAGATCCTCAGCACCTTCCTTGCCTTGGGCATCCCTCCCCCAAGGCCTGGCTGACACTCGGAGCCAGTGTCCATGGAGGGCTGCAGGGGCAGGCGAGGGTGGACACTGCTGTCCTTGGCTCATTCGTGGTGGGCTCCGCAGCCAGAGCAGGCCTTGGGGTTACCTGTCCTAGGGTGTTAGATCCTGCTGTGCGGGGACATGCTGTTTCCATGAGTGACAGAGTCACCGATGTGGCCAGTACCCCTGTGGGCTGAGGCATCTTCTAGTTTAAGGAAATGCTAAATTTCGAGTAAAGCTTAGTGAAAATAAAGACACGATTTCATTCCCTGACAAAACAACCTCTAATTCCCTCTGTGAAAGAACCCCTTGGGAGCTGCAGATCCCAGGTTCCGGCCCCCTCACCTCACCCCCTTTCAGAGTGAAAGTGGCGCGTGAGTCTGAGGCCCCGTCTCTGAGTCCTGCGCTGGTCCTGGCCCGAACACTCCCCCACGTCGCATGGGCTGCAGGGACCCTCTGGGTAGATTTTGGGGTGTCTGTGGAGGTTTAGGGGCACAGCTTGGAAACTGTGGGGTCCTCCCTGGGGACCACATGTCCAGCTGTGGGGTCCCCCGAGGCCTCAGAGCAAGCTTTCTGGGAAATCCTCCTCCTGTGAGAGCCCCCCGTGGGGCCCCCATAACGGGAATGGGGGTGTTGCTGTCAAACATGGCCTTGGCATTGCCCAGAAGTCCAGGTGTGTCCCTGCAAGCTGGGAGGGGACAGGGCAACTGTGCGGCCCTCCCCAGGGCTGAGGCTGGGGCAGCCTCCAGAGGCCAGGTTGTAGCTATTGCTCCCCAAATGGACGGTCCCCTTTGTTCTCTGATTGCAGAAAAAGGGCTCCAAAAAGCCTGACTTTTAAAAAATACAGCTTTCCTGACATCTGTTTCACACACCGTACAATTCACCCATTTAAAGTGTACAGTCGGCTGGGTGCGGTGGCTCAAGCCTGTAATCCCAGCACTTTGGGAGGCCCAGACGGGCGGATCACGAGGTCAGGAGATCGAGACCATCCTGGCTAACACAGTGAAACCCCGTCTCTACTTAAAAAATTCCAAAAAACTAGCCGGGCGAGGTGGCGGGCGCCTGTAGTCCCAGCTACTCGGGAGGCTGTGGCAGGAGAATGGCGTGAACCCGGGAGGCGGAGCTTGCAGTGAGCCGAGATCCCGCCACTGCACTCCAGCCTGGGCGACAGAGCAAGACTCCGTCTCAAAAAAAATAAATAAAATAAATAAAGTGTACAGTCCAATGGTTTCTAGAATATTCAGAGTTGTGTCACTCTCACCATAATCAATTTTAGAACATGTTCATCGTCTCAAGGAGAAACCCTCTAGCTAGCGATGGATTCCCCATTCCCGCGGCTCCCCGCCTGTGGTGGGCCCGACTCATTTCCTGTCTTTGTGGGTTTGCCTGCTCCTGATGTTTCGCATGCGTGGAGTCAGACGCTGAGTGGCCTTTTGTGTGTGGCTTCTGTTCCCAGCGTTGTTTTCAGGATTCACCCATGTAGGGGCTGCATGAGACCACTCCTTCGTATCGCTGAGTGATATTCCACTGAGGGGCACTGCGTTTTGTGTGAATCTGTCACCACTCTGAACAGCCCACAGGTGGAAGCAGCTCAGACCTGGCAGAGGTTTGGGCTGTTTGCTAGCCCCGAGTCACTTTTGGGCTGTTTCCACCTGTGGGCTATCCTGAGTCGTGCCGCTGAGAACGTTTGCGTGATTTCGTTTCCTCCTGGGTGGAGATTCGGGGGTGGCCTGGCTGGGTTGCTGGGTAGCTCTGGGTCCAACTCTCTGAGAAGAGCTGTTAAACACATACCCTACAGCTTCTTTTAATTTTTATTTATTTCATTTTATCTTTTGAGACGGAGTTTCACTTTTGTTGCCCAGGCTGGAGTGCAGTAGCACGATCTCGGCTCACTGCAACCTTTGCCTGTCAGGTTCAAGGGATTCTCCTGCCTCAGCTTCCGAAGTAACTGGGATTACAGGCATTCGCCACAGTGCCTGGCTAATTTTGTATTTTTAGTAAAGACAGGGTATCACCATGTTGGCCAGGCTGGTCTCAAACTCCTGACCTCAAGTGATCCACCTGCCTCAGCCTCCCAAAGTGCTGGGATTTCAGGCATGAGCCGCCTCGCCTGGTCTTATTTTAAAAAAATTTTTGAGACGGAGTCCCTCTATGAGCCAGCACACCTGGCCCATGGCTTCTTTTAAAAAGAGACTTCTGGAAGCTGAGAAGTCTTTTCCAGGGCTCCACCTGGGGACTGACCACTGGGCATGTTGAGGTCTGTGTTTGGAGGAAGTGGGTTGACAGTGACAGCTGTGACTGTTGGAGCACACAGTCGGTGCTGGGCAGGTGGGCCATTCCTGAACCCTCAGTGTTCCCTCCTCGGGGGTCTTGGCCGGTTGCTATCCTTCTCCTCCACACCAGCCCCCAGCAGCTCGCAGGCTGCCTGGACCCAGCCCCATCGTCAGCCGCTGGGCACGCACGTGAGAGGTCTGAACCCTGCCCTCGGTGCTACAGGGTCACTGGCCATTTTCACAGAGGGGCCCCTGAGCAGGAGAAGCAGGGCCAGCATGCACGCTGCAGCCGAGGTCCTGAGAAGGAAGTGGCGAGGAGGAGGAGGAGGACCGGTCCCACCCGCTGCCCATTGTCTCAGAGCACAGACCCGGAGGGGGACATGAGGATCTAACGGGGATTCCTGGGGGACCTTCATGAGGCTGTAACAAATGTGTGCCAAACCCCTGTCAACACCAGTGGGTACAACACAGGGTTCAAGGGCTGAAGAAGTGACCCAGGGCTAGCAAAGGAGACCCAGGGTTTATTGCAGGCCACGGGGTGGGGAGGGGAGTGCGGCGATGGGAGAACTGCAGCGGCTTGCAGTTCACATGAAGTTCACATGGCATGTTCACCCCATACCCTCCCCTAACAACCTCCACCTGGCAACCGTCATTCAACCCAAAACTCAGGGCCTCAAGCCCCTGCACAGCGCATGTTCCACGGGACAGGCCAGGGGCTCAGAGGTTCCTCAGAGCCAAGGAGGGACTCTCCAGGTTGGCCACTCCCGGATTCCTTAGCTCAGGTTGTTCTTGGATTATGCGAAAGTTACTGCTATCCGGGGCGTTTACCCTACAACAAGTGTTTGGTGGGGGAGGAGCCTCCTTGGGGGTGCCAAGAGCAACAGCGGGGCTGGGGTCTAATGTCTGTGAGGCCACTCCTGTTGTTTTGTGCTTAGTAACTGGGTCTTCAAGGCAGCCCTGTGGGGTAAGAATCTTTTATCCTATAACATTTCATTTTGCACATGTGCAGACAGAGGTTGCTTAACTAGCCCCAGGCTGCATGGTTGTCACCATGGAGCTGGGATTTGTACCCTGGTGGCTTCGCATAGAGCCTGAGCACACGACTCCCACCAGCCTGCCTCTGTCTCTGACCCCGAGTCCTCCAAGAGGACTGGGGTCTCCTCCCAGCACCACCACGGCCGTTGAGCCCAGTGCCCAGGAGACTGAGGCCTGTGAGGTTTCACCTGGGGCCCAGAGAAGGCTCCTAGTGGTGTGGGGGCCTCTGTGCCCAGGTTTTCCCCAAGGTGCCGGCTCATAGCTCCCCATACCCATGGGCCTGTCTGAGTCTGTTGCTCCAGGCCACGCCCTGAGTGGGCAGCCTCCCTCCCACGCCGTTCTCAGCCTGAGGCCGCCACACAGAGCCACCCAGCCTATGGGGTCGTGCACGTCCAGAACCCTGACCCTTGGGAAGGTTGCGATGGTTGGAAATGCAGATGTTCCGAGGGAAAGTGGCGGGAGCAGGTGCCGGCTGGGGCCAAGGGATTCTCGAGAGAAGACATGAGCTTCACTCAGGCACAGCTCTTCAGCCACAAGACTGTTGATCCTAAAAGATCATGTAAATAGAGGAGGGCATGGTGGCTCATGCCTGTAATCCCAGCACTTTGGGGAGGGTAAGGTGGAAGGATGTCTGGAGGCCAGGAGTTCAAAACCAGCCTGGACAACATAGTGAGGGCCCATCTCTATTTATTTAAAAAAATGTATTTTTTAAAAGATAATTTAAAAACGGGGTTGGTTCTGAAATAAGAATCACCTGGGAAGCTCTTAAAAGCCTTGAGCCCGGGCCTCCCCCAGCCCTGCCGAATCAGCATCTCTGGGCGGGACGGCAAGGCCAGTCATTAGTTGCCAAAGTTCTCAAGGTGATTCCAATTCAAGCCTCTGCGCTAGAGCCGTGGCTCAGTTTGAGGAGCGTCGGGGCTCCTGGAGGTTGTTAAACCCACGTTGTAGGGCCCCAGCCCCAGTTCCTGGATGCAGCTGTTGGAGTGAGCTGAAAATCCGCTGCAGAGCCTGCATTTCAGAGTTCCCAGGTGGTGCCACTGTCACGGTAACAGCAGCAGTCTCCAGAACCTTCTGTAGGCCTCTACGTGCTCACGGGTTAGACCACCGAGACCACCCATGGATTTTATGTACCAGACACACAGTGCAGGCCTCGTGCGCAGTGTGTCTAACGTGCTGTGTAAATGCAGACCCGTTCCAGTGCCCTTGGAGGTGGAGATTGTGGTCCTTGTTTTATAGGCAGGGACAGTGAGGGGACCGTGACCGCTGTTGGGGCCAGGCATCTGGCTGCAGCTCCCAGGCTCTCACCCCTTTGCTGTGCTCCTTTGTAGCTTGGAGGGATTGATTTTTATCCCCATCTTGCAGATGGGGAAAGTGAGGCTCAGAGAAGTCAAGGACTAGTTTCTGAGGTCACGTGGCTAGGAAGCTAACAGCCAGGAGCCGAGCTCAGATTTGCCTGACTTCCGCCCATGCCGGCGGGTGGTGTGTGTGTGTTGGGGAATCTTCTCCTTGGAGAGGGGCCAGTCCTGCCCCACGGCGCCATCTCTGCACAGGTAACAGCATCAGTCAGGCACCCTGCATTCCACCCTGCGCCTCGCAGGGGTTTCCACTAACTCTGCTATCTGCCAGGCCAGCCCGTGGACCCCACCGCCCCCTGGGTGAGCGTTCCCAACATCAGAGCTCTGCAGCGGGCAGTGAGGGGAGCATGGGTCAGGGTGGGGCAGGACTGGGAGGGGCACCCTTCTGTGCTGCGTCCTGTCCCTGCCTCCCCTGGGTTCACACCCCAGGGAGGAGGGAGAAAGCCGGGGTTGGGGGCAAGGGGCAGTTCCTGCTCTCCCAGGCCCTACAAGGCATGCACGAGGCTAAAATTCAGAAGCCAGCAGGACGCCCAGGTCTCCTGAGCCTGTGCATCTAATCTGCTCACCCGGGAGAGGACGGCACTGGCGTGGGCGGGTCAGAAGAAGCAGGAGGACCCTTCCATGACCCAGGACAGGCTGGCCCTCAGTGACCAGAGCCCCCATGCTGGGCACAGGGCTGCCACCTTGGGCGGTGACCTCCCCAGCTGCCGCACTTCCGAGTGAGCCCCCCGTCACTGGTGTCTGCCCTCTTGAGTGAGGGAGGGGCTCGGTAGGGCCGGGTCGTGATCAGAGCCGGAGTTGGCCTTTGTGGGTGTTGGCCTCGCCTGCTCTTTTGCCCGGTGGCAGTAAAGAATATTCGTACAGAGTGTGGGTTTTGGAAGCAGACGTGCCTGGTAGGGGTCCTGGCTCAGATGCTTCCCCGATGTTAGCACCTGGGTAAGTGGCTTAACCTCATCACTCGGTGTTGGCATCTGTAAAATGGGCACAATAACATGCTCACGTCTCCCTCGGGGGGCTGTGTGAGAATCGATTCAGTGGCCTGTGGAAACCCCTAGCGTGGCCCGGATGCATGGTGAGTGGCTTTGGCGGCGTCAGCCTTCATGGTCGGTGGGAGACCCTAGCTCTCCCGGGTGAGATCGGGGTAAGAGAAAGCAGAGTCGGTCCCCAGCAGGTGTGGCTGGGAGGATGTTCAGGGCTGGTGGGAATATTGGGGGTCACTGTGCTCCCAGTGGACAGGGTGTCCGGTAGGGTCTATAGATGAGCCCCACTTCTAAGCCTTGCCCTGGGTCCACAAATCAGCCAGAGTTACTGGGTGTGGGGCTTCCTCCATGTCAGGGATGAGGGGGGAACAGAAGGGCTGGATCCAGGGCTAACCCTGTGGGGAGGGCTCAGGTCTCCACCTCTTGTTGCTGTGTGGCCTTGGGCAAGTGACCTCACCTCTCTGAGCCTCTGTGTGCCCTGGGGAAGTGACACCATGCCTGCTGCTGTCTTGGTATTTCACAAGTGTTCAGCAAATGCCAGCAGACCGTGTCCTTCAGACACGGCAGCTGGGGTTCCTGACTGCCGGGCTACTGCTGGGGTGGCTCAGGAAGGTTTTTCTGTCCCCGCTACAAAACAAAAAAGCAGCTGACGCAGGAGTTTCGGTAAAGATAACGTACATTTGATTTAAAAGAATGCTCTTTATTCTGACATTTGGCCATCCCATCTTTGTGGGTTTTTTTTTTTTTTAAATTTGGATGTGAAAAAGACATTCCTTTATTTGTAATTGCCCAAAGTCGGAAGCAACAAAGTTGCCATTGAATAGGGAAGTGGATAAGCAAACAGCCGTGAGGATGCGGAGCAGCCTTCGATGTATGCTGCTCAGCGGGAGAAGCCCCTGTGAAGGGGCCACATCCCATGGGGTTCCAACTAGATGGCATTCTGGAAGAGGCAGAACTCTGGAGAAAGTGGCAAGATCAGTGGTTGCCCAGGGTTGGGGGCGGGAAGGGACGGACAGGTGGAGCCCCGGAGATTTGTAGGGCAGTGAAACTCCTCTGAGATACTCTAATGGCGGGTATATGTCTGGATGCCTTTGTGCACACCCATGGAAGGCGTGGACCCTGATGAAAACCATGGCTCTGGTTAATAACGTATCCGTCTTGGCCCATCAATTGTGACAGATGTACAAGATGCTAATATCAGGGGAAGTGGGGGGCGAGGGGATACAGTGGATGGGAACTCTCTGTACTTTCCACTCATTTTTCTCTAAAGTTAAAACTGCTCTAAAGTATTTTTTAAAAAGGAAAAGTTAAAAAAAAAAAAGACCTAGTGCGATGAACCAATGTGGAGAGTAGAAGCAGCAAGGTAAAAACGTTGCCCAGAGTCCACTCTGGAAGCCGCTTGGGGTGTGGCTGCTCCACTCAGTTGACTCTCGTCCCCACAGCACAGATTAGTGAACCTTTAGCCCCCACACTGGAGGCACTGGCCTTCCACCTGGTTGGGGTGAAGACGCACCTGGGTCCTATTTGCTACTCTCCTCGTGGTGAAGACGCACCTGGGTCCTGTCTGCTACTCTCCTCGGGGTGAAGACACACCCGGGTCCTATTTGCTACTCTCCTTGGGGTGAAGACACACCCAGGTCCCATTTGCTACTCTCCTCGGGGTGAAGACGCACCTGGGTCCTGTTTGCTACTCTCCTCGGGGTGAAGACACACCCGGGTCCTATTTGCTACTCTCCTCGGGGTGAAGACGCACCTGGGTCCTATTTGCTGCCCACCTCTGGGGTCAGCTGCTGTTCCTGGCACCTCCCACCCTAGGGAGATGGTGTCTGCACATGGTGCTTTTGGCCTCTGGCATGTGCACCCTGTCACAATCATCTTCCTCGCCCTCATCTGCAGACCTTCTGACACCACCCCTGCTGACTCCTCTCCCTTTGTCCTTCTGAGGAGATCCTGGACCTGCCCCTTCCTGGCATTCCCCAGCATACTTCCAAATACGCAAGGACAAGGCATCTGCCAGCCAGTCCTCTACGGGGAGCAGGACTGTGCATCGAGGCTGGGCTCAGGTCTTCACCCACCTCGACAACATGAGTCCCCTCTGAGCCTTAGTTTCTGTGGCTGGAAAAATGAGGTTACTATCACTATTGTGAGAATCTTCTCATAAATGCATCTTTCCTTCCCCTTCTCTAACATGTTTAATCCTTATTGAGATACTATGTGCCCATAGTTTAAGGTGTCATTTGGTGCTAAAAACAAATTAGAGGTTGGAGCAAAAATCGTTTGTTTTCAGAGACCACCATGTTTCCAAGTGTGTGTGATTGCCGCTTCCTGAGCTCATGCTCACTTTTAGCCATTATCTGTTGACTTCCTACTGTAGTAGATGGAGATTTTCAATATCTTAGACCCCCATCCTCTCCCCGCTATCTCAATATTGCTATGTTGCTTTTTTTTGTTAAATCCATAACTCAGTGTTTTTCATTATGACTATGTGAGTATTGCTTACTGCTGAGCCAGGCAATGGAGTCTGATTCTGTACACTTCTCATGCATAGCTTGAGTTAGTAATTGTCTCGCTTTTTTTCAATTGCAGTTTTCTTTAAATCACCAGTTAATTCTTTTTTCAGCTTCCAGCTGCTCAGTGAAACACCTCTCAAATGCAGCTTGCACTTGAGCAAACCTGCCAGATTCTCTCAGTAATACACACAAACGTACAAATACGTTTGTTTATCGTTCGATTGCCTTCTTCCCAATTCTTCCTCTGTCTTCCTGGATATTTCCTTCACCTCTCCTGTGTCTCACCTCTGAGCAACCGCGCCCGGCCTCCTCATGTCTTCTTTCATGGTTTCCTCCCTCATTTGAGTGGAGCACATCCTGGAGTAGCTTCCTAAGAAAGGATGCAAGGAAGATATAGTTTCTGTGGCTTGATTATTTGATAAATTGGTATGCATAGTATGCTAGGTTGAAAATCATTTTTGCTGTTAATTTGGGGCAGTGGAGGTGCAGTTTTCCACTGACTTCTAGGTTCAGTGGTGCTCTTGAAAAGCCCTTGCTGTTCTGATTCTCGGTCCTTCATTTGTGATCTGTTTTTGGTTTTCTCTGGAAGCATTTAGGGTCTTTGTTGTTTGAGTTCTGAATTTCATGCCACTGTGTCTTGGTTGGGTGTCTCTCCCCTCATTGTGTGGTATCTGTGAGCCCTCCAGTCTGGACGCTCACACCCCTCCATTCCAGGAGACTTTCTTGTTTAGATCTTTGCTTATTTTCCTTTCCTGCTTTCTAGAACTCCTGATATTTAGAGTTTGGGTGTTCTGGGAATCCTTTAATTTTCTTACTGTTTTGCCTACCTCTTTTTTTGTTTTAGTTTCTGAAAGATTTTCTTGATTTTTATCTTCCAGCTCATTTACCAAAACATTTCTTTTAGCTATTATACTTTTAATTTCCAGGAGCTTTTTTCCCTAGTCTTTCCTTTTAAATAGCATTTTATTCTCATTTTGTATTTTATCTCAGAATTTAAACCCTGGTCCCTCAATGTCTTCTCCCACCTGCTGCATTTTTTGATTCCTCCTTTTTTTCCCCCCACTTATTTGTATGTTTTGGTCTTTTTCTTCCCTGCCAGGGCTTCTCCTTATGTCTGAGGATGGTTGACTGTTCATGTATGAAAGTGAGGTACCAAAAAGCTGAGTGGAAACTTTGTGTGGCAGCCTTCGCTTCTGGCTGCAGTCTGTTTTTTCAGAGGAATTCTCCATCTCTCTCCTGGATGAAGTAATTCTCCTGTTTGGGTGGGGAAGCAGGCAGGGTCTCTCAGTTCAGAATGAACACTTTCTCAGTGCCTGCTGAAGCATTGGCGAAAAAAAGAGCACTTCCCTAGCACTCCTGTGCCTCCCCCGACCCTCCTCCGACCCTCCTCTGCCTGGTGCCCCTGGGGTAAGCTTGTCTGATTCTGTTTGCTTAGAAACTTTTCTTCCTGGGTTCTGCAGAAGGAGAAAAAACTCTCTTCCGTTCATTCATTATTTATATTTTTCAGCAATCTGGCTTTTTATCCTTTTTCTTGGTTTGTCCTAACTTTGTTTTAAGAGATGGAGTCTTGCTCTGTCATCCAGGCTGGAGTGCAGTGGCATGATCACTGCAGCCTCAACCTCCTCGGCTCTAGCCCTTCCTGGGCTGAAGCAACTGGACTACAGGTGTGCACCACTACACACACTAATTTAAACAAAACTGTGGCTGGGTGCAGTGACTCACACCTGTAATCCCAGCACTTTGGGAGGCCGAGGCGGGTAGATCACTTGAGGTCAGGAGTTCAACACCAGCCTAGCCAACATAGTGAAACTTCATCTCTATTAAAAACACAAAAATTAGCCAGGCATGGAGGTGTGCACTTGTAATCCCAGCTACTCGGGAGGCTGAAGTGGCAGAATTGCTAGAACCTGGGAGGTGGAGGTTGCAGTGAGCTGAGATCATGCCACTGCACTCCAGCCTGGGCAACAGAGTGAGACTTTGTCTCAGAAAAAAAAAACAAAAGGAAAAAAAGGCCGGGTGCGGTGGTTCAAGCCTGTAATCCCAGCACTTTGGGAGGCCGAGAAGGGTGGATCACGAGGTCAGGAGATCGAGACCATCCTGGCTAACAAGGTGAAACCCCGTCTCTACTAAAAAGTACAAAAAACTAGCCGGGCGAGGTGGCGGCACCTGTAGTCCCAGCTACCTGGGAGGTTGAGGCAGGAGAATGGCGTGAACCCGGGAGGCGGAGCATGCAGTGAACTGAGATCCGGCCACTGCACTCCAGCCTGGGCCACAGAGCGAGACTCCGTCTCAAAAAAAAAAAAAAAATTTGGTAGAGACGGGGTCTTGCTGTGTTGCCCAGGCTGGTCTGGAGCTCTGGGGCTCAAGCCGTCTTTCTGCCTCAGCCTCCCAAAGCGCTGGGATTACAGGTGTGAGCCACTACACCTCTCCTGTCCTAACTTTTGCTTCTTTATTTATATAGTTAATCACCTCGCTAGAGACTAAGAATTCTGTGTTCTTGGGCTGCCATCACAAAATACCACAGACAGCGTGGCTTAAACCACAGTTTATTTCCTTGCAGTTCTAAGGCTGGAAGGTCAAGGTCAAGGTGCCGGGAGAGTTGGTTCTTCTTTGTCTTCATGGGCTTGTCCCTCTGTATATCTCTGAGTCCCTTCTTAGAAAGACACCAGGCCTATTGGATTAGGGCCCCCAGTGCCTTCATCTTTACCTCAGCCACCTGTTTAAAGACCTTATCTATCTCCAAAGAAGGTGACACTCTAAGGTGACAGAGGGTGGGGGGGGATGGGTGGGCAGGACTTCAGCATATGCATTTTGGAGAAATACAATTAAGTCCATAGCAAATTCCAGCAGACATCACTATTCAGCGCTCCGCTAAGATTAACCAAAAAAAGAAAAAAAATTAACTGATGGGCCAGGCGCGGTGGCTCACACCTGTAATCTGAGCACTTTGGGAGGCCGAGGCAGGTGGATCACCTGAGGGCAGTTTGAGACCATCCTGGCCAACATGGTGAAACCCTGTCTCTACTAAAAATACAAAGATTAGCTGGGTGTGGTGGCGGGCGCCTGTAGTCCCAACTACTTGGGAGGCTGAGACTGGAGAATCGCTTGTACTTAGGAGGCGGAGGTTGCACGGAGCCAAGATCACACCTCTGCACTCCAGCCTGGGCGACAGAATGAGACTCCATCTCGAAAAATAAAAAACTATCTAGTGTTGGTAGTAACAATGTAGGGGACATTCTCTCTTAGAGTCTTTTCTGAGGGTAATTTCTTAAAAACTATAACCCCAAAACCTTCCTTTTGACCAAGCAATTTCATTCTAGGAATTTATCCGAAGGATAAAGTTTAACATCATGTAAAGATTAGCTATGAAAACGGAGGAGTGACCTGAATACCTTGCGGCATAGGATTAGCTTGTAATTGATGTGCTTGTGAAACAGCCATGCAACGGATGGGGCTCCCTGCAGCTGGGGACAAAGCAGGTGCAGAGAGGCAGGAGGGACAGGCGTGGGGCATGGGGGCCATCCGTGGAGAAAGCCCTGGAGCTTTGTGAATGCCCTCTGTGGGCCAGTGTAGGGCTCTCACCGTCACATTGGACCTGTGCCCGGGGCCTGGTTGCTGCGAGGGTCCCGGATGGGGCACAACAGGCGAAGACCCCAAGGATAGGGTCTGTTCCGGGGCATCTTGGGCAGAGAGTGGGTACAGGGGACAGAAACCCAGCCAAAGCGGCTCAAGTGGAAGGTGGGTGCTGGTCGATATGGGCCGGCCAGAGGGGTGTCGGATCTGGGAACGGGGAGGCCATGGGAAGCCCACAGGAGCCACTTCTGAGTCACCTCTGAGGGTGGGGGCTGTGCTCTGCCCAGCTGGGAGCCCGGGCTCTGAAACTAATGTTTTGGGAAGAATGTCAGCTGACGGGTGGGGCTTCAGAGGAGGAAAATAAACAAGTGTGTGAGATGTGCGGGCCCTGGCGAGAGACAGGCAACAGCAAGAGCCTGCTGGCCACACTTACCCGCAAGGCCCGCCGAGGGGCTGTCCTGGCCCAGGGCTCTGGCTTTCGGACCCAGACAAGGCTGCTGACCACGCAGGCCAGGTGCTGATTGACCGTCCCAGAGGATCTCCGAGCGGGTCCCCTGAGCATTAGGAATGCAGCTTCTCAGGCGGCGCCAGCCTGGCAGAACAGGAAGGGAGGGGTACAGCCCTGCGGGGACACAGCTGCGGCTCGAGTGACACCTGCTGGTGGCCTCATCTCGTCTGTTCTCTGCGAGTCTGTGGTGGTTCTAGTCGGTGTTTCACCGGCAAGGTTTAGGGGGTTTGGTCCTCACCTGGGGTCCACCCACGTCTTCCGACTCTGTCTCACCGTGTTTGGGCCATCGGTGGGTGAGGTGGTGGCAGCAGAACTGGGGTACCTGTGTGTGGCGGCAGCACCGACATCCCCTGCAGCCACACCCTCCTGAGAGGGTCTGGAAGGAAGCAGGGTGCCCTGTCAACCCACCTGCCTCAGGGCTGTCTTCCGGGGCCCCAGGGCCAGGGCAACTGGAGCCCACAGAACATTATCTAGCTCTGGGGGCCGTGCTGACCGAGACAGACCCTCTCGGCGGCCCATAGGGATGGGCAGCTGGCGGGGCAGCTTTGTCCCCCCGGCACTGGGTCCTGTCTTTTTGCACATAAGCCGTCTGTTCTGCAGGTGACCAGTTGGGTTCGATGGAACAGGCTTTGGGAATTGGCACCTGGGATTTGCCCCCCACAGCTATGGATCTTGACCTTGGGAGAGGCCTCCACCACGTGCCCTCGAGTGGGGTGGGGGGTGTCCTGCATCTGCGCCATCCGGCTCAGTTGCCCTCAGCTGCAGGTGGCCGCCAAGCACTAGGGTGTCGCTGGCATAGCCAAGAAACTGAGCCCAGGCCGGGCGTGATGGCTGAAGCCTGTAATCCCAGCACTTTGGGAGGCCGAGATGGGCGGATCACGAGGTCAGGAGATCAAGACCATCCTGGCTAACACGGTGAAATCCCGTCTCTACTAAAAAATACAAAAAAACTAGCCGGGCGAGGTGGCGGGCGCCTGTAGTCCCAGCTACTCGGGAGGCTGAGGCAGGAGAATGGTGTAAACCCGGGAGGCGGAGCTTGCAGTGAGCTGAGATCGCGCCACGGCACTCCAGCCTGGGCGACAGAGCGAGTCTCCGTCTCAAAAAAAACTGAGCCCAGACTTTTTGTTTACTTAATCCAGCATAAATGCAAAGGGCTGGGGGTGGCCGAGCTGATGGTGCAGGCGCGTGCGCTCAATAGCTCCATCACAGTGGATGTTGCTTTGAGGGAGGGAGGGAGAGGAGCAACTGCGGTGAGTGTGGAGGCCCAGCCCGCAGAGCTTCCATCTGGGGGAAGCCCTGTCCCTCGCTGCCTGTCCCTGGCGCTTTGGTGCCCTCTGCTGTGGGGTGGTGAGGTCAGGCTATGCAGGCAGGACAGAACTGAATGAAGCCCATGTGCTTTCGTGTAGCCAAAGTCCTTTTCTTATATCATTTATAAAATCAGAGCTATATTCCCACGGGGGGGCAAAAACCCAACACCGTGCAGTTGCAAACACGGGGCAGGAAAGGCCCCAGCGGCCCTCGTTACTCCATGCCGGGAGGCATGGCCAGAGCTCCGTCAGCTCATGCGTTACTTAAACCTAGAGGTGGGTGCCATTATCACCTCATCTCTAGAACTTCTTCATCTTCCCAAACCGAAACTCTGTCCCACTAAGTGCTCACTGGCCATCCTCCCTTCCAGCCCCGGCACCCTCCATTCTACTTTCTATGTCTGTGAATCTGATGACTCCAGGGACCGTCCCCATGAGAGTGGAATCCCACAGGATTTGTCCCTTGGAGCCTGGCTTGTTCCACTCTGCATGACAGCCTCAAGGCTCATCCAGGAAGCAGCAGGTGCCCGGCTTTCCTTCCTTTTTAGGGCTGAGGGGGACCACGTCACTTTATCCGTGATGCCTTCACTTTTCAGCTCTTGTTCCCATCTGTGTCTGTAAGCTGGAGCATCCCTTGATGGAGGAGGGACGTCGGGGAGTGGGTGAGCCTCTCCTCTTTCCAGGGTGGTCCTCCACTTTGTAGGGGCAGCCCACCATCCTGGACTTCCAGCTGAGGGGTGGCCCAATTTAACAAGCACTTTGGGAGGTCAAGGAGGGCAGATCACGAGGTCCAGAGATCGAGACCATCCTGGCCAACATGGTGAAACCCTGTCTTTACTAAAAACACACAAAAAAATTATCTGGGCCTGGTGGCGCGTGCCTGTTGTCCCAGCTACTCGGGAGGCTGAGGCAGGAGAATCGCTTGAACCCGGGAGGCAAAGGTTGCAGTGAGCTGAGATCGCACTGCTGCACTCCAGCCTGGAGACAGAGCAAGACTCCATCTCAAAAAAAACAAAAAAAAACAGGCCATCCAGTTACATGTGCGTGTCAGGTAATCAACAAATGCTTTTTATTTTTATTTATTTATTTGTTTAGAGACTGAGTCTTGCTCTGTCGCCCAGGCTGGAGTGCAGTGGCATGATCTCGGCTCACTGCAACCTCCACCTCACAGGTTCAAGTGATCTTCCTGCCTCAGCCTCCTGAGTACCTGGGATTATAGGCACCCATCACCATGGCTAGCTAGCTTTGTATTTTTAGTAGAGACAGCATTTCACTATGTTGGCCAGCCTGATCTCTAACTCCTGACCTCAGGTGATCTGCTTGCATCAGCCTCCCAAAGTGCTGGGATTATAAGCATGAGCCACCCCACCCAACCAACAAATGCATTTTAAATATAAGTATGTCCCATGCAGTGTGTCCCCTAAAGAACAACATGTTGTTCATCTGAAACTCAGATGTTACCAGGCGTCCTGTGTTTTATCTGACAGCCCTGTCCACAGCCCTCACATGGAAGGGGCAGTCGCTGAGGGTGCAATCTTGGGGTGAAGGTCCCTGTGATGCAGCCTGTGCCCAGCTTGGACTGGCCATGGGAAAGCCACTGTGTGGGTGGGCCTGGCCTCAGTAAAGGGCCACCCCCTGAGACCCACTGAGCCTAGTTCCAGTTTCCCTCTCACAAACCCCAGCCTGGAAGGGCGTTCGGGTATGGAGCAAGCCACGGGGTTTCCCCCTAGTGTGGTTCGCGTTGGGGTGCTGGGTGGTTCTGAGTCAGCTGCCCCCTCTGCCTTCTCCCCGTGCCCACCACAACTGCCCCCAGTGCTGGGACCTCTGAGACACTCTGGAAGGGTGTGCAGCGGTGCCGTGGGGTCCCTGGGGTCAGGTCCACACACATCCCTGCTTACAGGGCTCTCGGCCTCCTGCAGGAGAAGGTGCCACGGCCTAGCGGGTGGGAGGGCAGGAGCCCCATCACTGGAGTCGGAGGTCGCTTCCGATGTTGATGGCAGTGGGCTTGCCTCCAGGTTAGCTGCCTCCCCAAGCACTTTGGGGGTACAGAATGACCGACCAGTGTGGGAGTACAAACGTCTGACCCCGTCGCCTGAAAGTGGGACGAGGCTGAAGCTGACCTCCCGCTGAGACCACCTCACTCAGCCCAGTCCCCTGCTGCCATGTCCTTCCTCCTGGCACCCGCCTTCCCCTGCCCCAAATAAGTCACGTTCACAGGACTCCCAGCTCAGGCTCTGCTCCTGGAGAAGCTGCCCTCAGAGGCCGCGTTGCTGATCACTTTTCAACAAAGAAGCTGCATTGTGTGGCAGGTGCCACCATCTCTTGGAGTGAGGCAGCCTCAGGGGCTCTGGGGCTGTAGCTTGATTGGTGATCCTTGCACGCCCCTCCTCTGCCTGGCTGGGCCATGGGCCATGTGCCATGTGGGGCATGAGGGGCCTGTACCACAAGTCCCTCTGGGGGCTCGTGATGTGGCTGAGCTGGAAGATACATTCTGGAACATCT